CGATTTTATTTGTGTTTTGCACAAGCATCAAACGACGTCGGCTCTTATTGAGTTTATGACGATGTTGTGTCATATACAAATCGTAAGGGCCGTCGTATACCCTAAAAGGCACCACAAAACTCAGTTGGTGGGAATTCTAATCATCATCACCCTAAGCGGGACCAAAACACTGATTTTAAACCCTAAAAGGGACGACGAGGACCCCGCCCTTTTTTATTAGGGAGTCCACCCGGGAATTCAACGCACTTGGCTACTAGGCAATTTGTTCATTCGCTTACCAAGTTCTTCTTCAGTAGACAAGCCGTAGCCAAGACCTTTGTGACCATCCATAATATCCAAAATATCTTCAGCTTTGACGTCACTTAGGCCTATATGGTCCAGGTCTTCTTGTACGTGCTGGTACAGATTTTCTACGCTATTTCGTATATTCACAGCATGGATCCTAAACAAAAACGTGTATTATGAAAATTTGAAACTGTTTTCATTGACGAGATTGGGTTACAGTTTTCTCATCAAGAATTCTTTATCAAGACCGATTTGGACGACAATACTTTTACCTGCAATCATCGCATGCAAACTGCGAAACGTCTTTGAAAACATGCCTGCAACAGTGCTGCTAGAGATTCGATATAATTGTTTAATAGTCCTACGACAGTTGTCAGTAGTAGCAATGTTGTCAGCTCTTTCTGGGACCTTATTTTAGGGCTGAAAACGTGGCCTAGCAGATACGATCACAGGCAAAACTCCACCCTACCCCAGACTATACCCTATCCTAGACAAAAAACTACCCTATCCCAGGCAAACAGACTACCCTATCCCAGACAAATGGGCAAAAAATGGAGATGATACTCTATCCCAGACTTGGACCTTNGAAGCCCACAACAAAAGATAAATGAAGGAAAGCAAGCATCAACATAAGCAAAAAACCTAATTAACGACAGGATAATGAGCCAACAAAAGCATCTTCCTTTCCTCTTCTTCATCAATATAATTTTTTTTTTAGCTTTTGCTTATGTTCAACATTTGACATTCATGATTTATCTAAATTATCAATTAGACAATTATGCTAGCATATAACATACACTGATATTACAGAATTAAGATAAGTAAAAATTACATTTCTGTCATGCGTACCTGATCAACAAGCTCCTTGAAGCATTGAAGATAAGAAAACATTGCAATATTTGAAGATCCCCCAGCTGGTATGACATACACCTTGGACCCCTTCTCTTTCCTTAAAACCAACAAAAAAGGCATATATTAAATGTCAGGGACTCTGGGCTTCCTTTGGTGGTACAAACTGTAACTACTGTCGTGTAACTTACTCCAGTTTTTCTCTAAGCATGTCCATTTTAGGATGGATAGCGATGTCATATGGTTGATACTCCGTCAATATCATGTGCGTACCAGTGAGCCTGTTAAACAAGAGGTTACCTAGGCAACCAACATCTGTGGTCTGTTCGAGAACACAATTGATTAAAGGCAGTTTGTAGTCATGTCAACACTTTGTACAAGAAAGCATGATTGGAGTTGTAGTTCTCAATGCATCCCATCATGCTTTTACGCACCATTTCGCGGATAATTCGAAATTTTACATTTATTACATCGTTATGGTAAATCATTGACATCACTGGAAAGAGCGTCATAAAATCAGCAAATTTGCCAAGTTTGAAAATAATCTGAGTGATTAAAATTCAAAGAGATACGACACTTCAAAAACACTAAATTTTGCTTAGAAATGTTTGGCGAAGTTGTAACAAGTCAAGGTCAACCTCGATCTCATGCAGAAAGCCATACATTTCTTTGTAAATTTTGCCGAATTTTAAACGCTGTATCTCCTTGAATTTTCATCGCATCATGCTCAAACCTGGTAAACATACTAATTTTACACTGTTCTTTCCAGTGGTGGTAATCGTTTTTTGTTATTTGCTCAATTTCTAATAGCTGTGTTTATCCGCAAAGTGGGCTATTTACATTTTGCTTTGCTATGCAACTTCTTGACCCACTGTCTCATTGACTGACAGATTTATGAATAGATTCATATTTCCAGAAAGTTGCAAATAGACCCTTTGCAGCTGGGGGTCACGTGACCACACCTACCTTAAATCAATCAGCTATCAAAAAACGATGTTCAGAAATGGAAAGAGCAKTTTTATGTTGGTAAAATGGCAAAATCTCACGTCTCAACTCTAAATACTTCAAAAATGACAGCAAATGTAAAATATTGATTTTTCAAAGAAAACGCATGGAAACATAATGATTTTGCATTTGCTAGCAATTTTATAATATTTAAGGTTCAGACTTGAAACTTTGTCATCTTACTTATTTTGATCCCCTCTTTCCATTTCTGAACATCATTTTTGATAGCTGATTGATTTAAGGTAGGTGCACCTTGTCTTCATGCATTTGTTTTAATGTATCAATCAAACTATCTAAAGCATCCAGTTCAAGATGGTTTTCCGTTTACCATGATGCGCACTTACCGTTTCTCTTTGTCTCATGAAGAGATAGCATGTCATTCTAAACCGCCGTGCAGCTAATGCAGTTG